GAGTTGTCCCCGTCTCTCTGTGGCTATACAGAAATCCCTGGCTGTTTCCAGTTAGTTGTGCAATGGCGAGCCTTGGGAGGCTGGAAAGACGTAGCTTCAAAAAAAGGGGAAAGGCAAAAGGAAAGGAGAATTATCTGTGGAAGTCAGAAGAGTTGTTGTTCCCGCGTTTGCTCAGCAAGAGGGACAGCATGTCCTGACCAGCTCTGTGCTGCTTCGGTTACTGTATAAAAAGGGAAGTGTTTTGTATCAAGAGTTCTTCACTTGCTCTACCTTTTATGAGGTAGCTTATGCAGATTATTCTTGTACCTGTTGGCGATGAGCCGCTGTGGAAAGCTGTTGGCACAGGGTGGATTATTGGAGCTTGGGATGTGGCGTTCAGGGGGTGTGGGAAGTAGGAGGGCAGTAGAGGAGCTGATGTACAGCTGGAGTCAAAGGCGAGACTATGTCTGAAGTTCAGCCTCCTGTTACTGGGTTTGCTGACCAACGACGCTAACCCCTGAGAAGATCAGCCAAGCTCTTTCTCTTTTACACACTAAACTCCCTGGCCGTCTTTTTTTCCCTTCCGCTTTCTTCTGAGTAGTTTTTCTGGATTACATTTTGACCATCTCTTCAGGGTTAGGTGAGGTTTTTCCACTTTTAACTTCCAATGGGTTTGGTTTTTTTTTCCCCTGGAAAAATGAATAGTAGTCTAAAAATCTCTTGATTATTATTATTTAAAAAAAAAAAAATCTAAACCCCATTAAATTCAGTAGACCCTTGTGGTTAGAGGCATCATAATAAAGTTCTTCTTTGTATAAAAATGCATTGGCTTCCATTGTTGAGCAAATCATGTGTATGTTTCAGTGTTTTGTCTCCTCTAAAATATGTTTTAATTAATCTTCTTGCAGGTCTCCTTTTTAACTCTTTCTTGTTTCCTCAGACGGTCATTCTTTGCCTCTTCCTAACAGAGGAAGCTTAGAGTCCATCAGTTGCTCCTAAAATAAGGAAAATGGAAATGCTAATGCTCTTTGTCTACAGTAACTCTTCCGACCAAAATCATTTCCCTGAATCACAGCAAAGATCTCTCTGAGATGTAAAACGGTTCCGCAGTCTGTATATCTCTAAAGATGGAGGAGTTGCTCATTTAATTATTGAAAACTGCACATTTTTTCATTTTGAAACTTCTTTGCATTTTGCTTTGATTTTATTGAACAGGAGTGTCAAATCAGTATATATTTGGGACAGCTATCTCTGCCAGTGGGGACGGGCGAGAGAACCTCGATCTCCAAATTTAAAAGTATAAAGCCTGAACAGAAATACTGTCTTGAAGTGTTATTTATGGACTTTGACTGATCTAGTATTAATTAACTTTGTTGTCTTATGGATTGGACTGCCCGAGTGTGAAGAGCGTTAGCACTGCATATAGCACTTTAGTACGAACCTGCAAATTAAGTGTAATTTTAAATTGATTAGCTTGCTTTCTTTTCCCATTACAGGTGCAACAACCGAACACAGTGTATAGTAGTTACGGGGTCAGATGTGTTTCCTGATCCTTGTCCTGGAACATACAAATACCTAGAAGTGCAGTATGAGTGTGTTCCTTACAGTAAGTATAATCTTTTTATTCTTGCTCACTTCCTCTGGCCCTCACCATGAAAGCTGGAGTGCCGTTACATGGAAAAGAAGCATATGTTTATGGCCCACGGACCCATTATGCATGCAGAGCACTTGCAGGCTAGGGCCTCCAATTAGCTTCCCGAAGTGTGGAAGGAAGCCATGGTGTGATGCTGGCCAAGTGTCTGTCTGTGTTCTTAAGTGTTTGGCTTTTAAGGCTACTGTTTTTCCAGAAAACAAACTCAAATTAGCTATTCAATAGGCCAGCTAGAAATTTGTACTTTTGCCCGCTACCAGTTGCTGACAAATTGGCTTGGCTCACAGACTTCTAAAGCAGGGATTGACTTCGGTTTTAATCATGATCTACTCGAAAGGCTACCTGCTGTGGTGGTGACTCCGGGTGCCCGGCAAAACCCGACGCTGACGCTCGGAGGCAAATGCCCCGCTTGGGGGATGTCGTCAGAGGGCTTTGTGCTGCAGGGGCACGTTAGAAGTGAGCGCAGATTCGGAGTGAATAATGAATAAGTTCCTCGAACTTGGTTCTTAAAAGCAATGGGGAAAAGAGTGAGAAGGAAATGTTCGCTTTTGGTGTAAAGAGAAAATAAAAACTGTGCCTTGAATCAGCTGCCAAAACAGAATTTGTCTCTGAAAACAAATCCTGAAGCCATATTGAGACAGAAAAATGAAAAGCTACGGCTACTTCAGCAGTTTTGTACAATATTCTTTCTAATGCCAGAATTCAGTAGCTTTAGACATACTTCTTGTTTCCTTGCAATAATTAATGCTTTTTTTCGTTGACACGTGTGCATGTTTATAAAAGTCCTGCAGATTCGGCACTTTTAACTGGTTTTGCTTTCTTGTAAGGTCATTCTTTGCAGGGACTTCTCCCTCGTCCCGTAACTCCACAGAGAAATAGCTGTGCTTGCAATGGAATTTGAGCAGTGCACTGATCATTCCCTTAAGTTACTGTTAAGTGTGAATTTCTTGATCTGCAGTACTCCTTAACCAAAGTCACATTTTCTGTTGGTACAGGAAACAGGCCAAGTCTGAGATGCAAAAACACTGTGGTGACAGTGTATGTCCAAAAAGGAAGGAAATGAGTTCTGGCATAAGCAAAGCTGTGTCAAAACTGTCCAGACTGTTTGCTGCACGATTTTAAAATGTAGACTTCTTAAGCCGAGACACTGTACTGTTTCACCACATTGAACCTTCACTGTTGTTAAAGGCCAAACACAGATCATCCTGGTTTTCCTTCATTTCTGCTGTGTCATTGTGAAATGGTTGCTTGCTGATTTTTTTTTTTTTATTTTTTTCCTGTACCATTTGTAGGATTGGAAGCCTACTGCATACAGTGATCCCTAGTACCATTCCTCCTGTGTGTAGTATCGGTGGCTTGTTGTAACTGTTCTTCTCGTGCCACTTTTGAGGAGTGATGTCTTACCCCAATCTAACCAAAGCTTTGTTCCACAAAGATCGCTTTCACTTTAGCACTGTTTTCGTTCCCAAATTCTCGGAAAGAGGGCAGTGCATCTGATTCCAAACCCTGAGGTCAGTCAAATGACAAGAGGTTACGTTTCCAGTTCCAGTAGGCTAGCTCGTAGAGAAAAAGTGTGATGCCAATAATGTTCAAACATAACTTTTTGTGCTGTTTTAGGAAGACAAGTGTGGATATGTTCTACCGATTGGGTATTGCTATCTACAGGAATCTTTTCTTTTCCAGTTTTCAGAAGTATAGCGCCACAGCGCGGCCTACCCTACTCCAACGTGTAGTTAACTCTGCTTCTAAGATGTTTATTTTTGTTTATTGTCAATTGTGTTGGCCTGCCCTTTGAATGACATAATTCGGTGTCTGTCGTAACTCAGGATTCTGGATAACTCCTTGTTTTTCAAAGTCTCCAAGTGTTGGAGTTCATCAGCTGCAGCAGGTACCGGGGTGACCCTCTGCCCAGCTCCAGAACCGTGCGAGGCATCACCTACCCTTACAGCAGTCATCAGAAAGGTTGCCAGTTACTGAAATCAGTTTGGAAGTTTGATTTCAAACCACATTGCGCTTCAGTAGCCGTTTTGGTTGTTGACTGTCTTTCTTCCCTGTCCCACAAAGCCTATCCTGGTATTTTTCCAAGTCTCTTTTTTTTTGATGCCTGATAAACTCCAGTTACCAAGTCTAATTTTTTTCTCCCTCGCTTGTTCCAGTGCTCCGTATCTAAACTTACGGCATGACCGAAGTCATTAGGTTTGCAAATAGCTGCTGTCCCAGCGTAAGAGACCTGTCAGGAAGGCGGGATAGGCTTGCGTGGGTCTAGGAAGGGAGGTTTTTAGTGGTCACAGCACTTGTAACCAAAGCTGAGTTACGGTTCTTTTTCTGAGCTTCATCTTCAGTTACTGCCAGACTGCAGAATTTGCTCTGCCTCGCCGTGGCACCTTTCTGTCCATGGGGGATGGCAAATGGCAATCTGACCAGGTTTTGTGGTCAAAGTTGGGCATTCTTGCACGCTGGAGTCGGTGTCACCCTTGTACAACATGCAGTTTATGAGCTCCTCTATGTCTCGCTGGCCTCCAGAAATACATGGCTGCTTTGCTGATCATACATATTGATTTGAGCTTTCTCTGGGTTCTGTATTCGTCGCCCTCGTAAGAGAGTACGTAATGAAAAGCTTCCCTTTTTGCATCTCAAAGTGTAGACAGAAGAAAATCTATTGAGATACTCAGTTGGATCACCAGCAAAACTAAAACTCTAGACAAATTTGATAGGCATTGCTTTGTCCTAAAATAAGAGTCTCATTGATTAAATTACAAAGAGATTGAGAGTGCCATACCTGACATTTCTCTCAATTAGGCTGCACGATGTGTGTTGACACTTTGACTGAGTAACAGAAGTCAGCCCTTTTATGAAGAAGAACATCAAAAGTACCATTTTGTACATCTGTGCATTTTTATTTTAAGCCTTTTTTGGGGCTCGGGAATTCAATAGAAAACGTTTTAAAGCATTTTATTCTCCCTCTGTCTGTATTGATTGGACTTTGCAGCATTTGTTTATTTCAATAAGCCCATCTGTCCCTGAAAAATGTACAGCTGTACACCAATGCACGCGGAGCAGACGTGCCAGTAATGATTTTAGTTATCCCTCTCTTTTCCCCCCTCTCCTGTTACTAATTCTAAGCAGGTACAGTATCAGTATTGCTCTTTGGCGAGGGATAAACTCGTGCATAAAAGTTCACAGACAGAATCGTCTGAAAGTCATTTAACGCTGGTTGTGAAACCCCGGAGTTCACCTCAGAATGCATCTTCTGTTTACTCGGATAACTCAAGAATTGCGAATTGCAGAAAATCAAGTATTTTACCTAAAGATGTATAAATGAACAAAGGCTAGGAAAGCTACTGCACATTTTGAGAAGATTAACCCACTCCCCCGTAAAGTTTTGGAATTGTTCCCTGGAGAAACCCTAGATCAGCTCAGCCAATACCCTTCTCTCAGAATGATCATACGTAATTTTGTTAAACGAAACTGGAAATCCAGAACTTGATATGAAACACGCAAATACGTTCTTCAGGATAATACCGTGATACTGAAAATGTAATAGCTGTGCAGATAGTTTTGGTACACTTCCTCGGTATCAGCAGCTGCTGTTGCACGGATTGGTACGTCTGTCGTTTTCCAGGTCGTTCTGTGAAACTAAGGGAGCGTACTTCAAAGGCTACTGAGCATATGAAACAGATTTTATTGCAAATAATTATTGGAAAGCTATTTACTAGCTGGACTTCAGCTGTATGTCTTCCTGTGATATGTTCCTTGTAACTTCCTTGGGGGAAAATGGCGGGAGCGATACAGCGTTGTTAATCGGGGCCGGTTTGCATTTTCCATGTATGGTGGCAGGATGGGTGTTTGTTCAAGCTCTCAGTGTGACTGTCCTTGCGTACTAGCTGGCTGTTTCGGGCTTAATCGATGATGCTGGAGAATTATCTGAATGAGCTAAATGTTAATTTTTTTCTTCTCTTTTCCTCTTGCTTACTGTGCTTTTGCTTCTTTTTTCTAGATGTTTTTGCTTGTATTCCTTCTAGTCTGATTTTGCAGTCATAAACTTAAGAAGTGGCAAAAGTTCTCAAGATTAACGTTCAGGAAAACAAACAAAATAAAGCCTAAGGGGAGCTAAAGGATGCAAGCTGCTTTCTTTACAAGCAAGAAAAGCAGAGGGATGTCTGGGGCAAAGATGGGGGAAGGTTTAATAAGCACACATACAAACCTATATAATTAATATACTGCATTTTGGATTTATGATTGCTAATATAATATGTATATGTGCGCTCGCACATATATGATAAATTAATGTGTCGCTTAAAAACGGAACTGGAGGGCATTGTACTTTGAGAAGAAGAGTATGTGTAGCATGCATTAGTAAAGTCATTCATTATTTATTCAGGTTCACTAAGTGAAACTACATGCCAACATATCTGTATTGCCTCCTTAATCTACTGAAGTGATTGATCCATGTTCACTTGTGTAACCGTAGAATCTCTCTCCTGCTAGGTTTTCCTGTTGTCTGTTTCTCTTTATCCGATATAGTGCAGTTCTTATTCTCCCTATATTTAGCGTCTGTTACTAATTTAATCTTTAGATTAATAGTCAATTTATGTTAATCTTCTTTCTTTTTTCCTTGCACTTTTTTATTTTTCTTCCGATGCTTAAAATAGAAGTGGAGCAAAAAGGTAAATAACGTATACAGTCCAAACCCCAGCTCCTTGTTATGTGCCTTATGGATGTTAACCTCTTCCCTTCCCCTCCCCACAACACTCTTATATTATGATAATCAGCAGGATCTCATAAGTACACCTCATAAAGAAGTCGACTGTTTGCAATAAAGTGACTTGGCTGCTTAAAGTAGGTGGCGGGGTATAGTGTCTGAAATACTTGGGCTGGAGGGAAGACTCCCTTGCTTTTTTCTCTCCCTTTCTCTTTGTCTTTCTTTCCCTCTCTTTCTCTCACCCTTGGGTAAATTCTTGTTAATCAAGTGTCATCTTGCCTGGCTTCCAGAACCCTCTCCATAGCATGCCATGGTTACAGGGTTTCCTGCTCTGTTTCATTCATTGCTTTGGTTGTGTTTTGTTTTCTCTGCTCCTAATTGCTTTCTCTATATACCTGATGATTTGTTTTGTTCCTTTATTTTTTAATCGAGGCACCTCCTTTTTCAGCCTCACCACTTCTTAAAGTTCTAAACAAGCCGATGTGGGTTTTTTTTTTTGGACTGAAATGACCTAGCGCACTGCTGCACACCAGTTAAAAGCTCTGGAGCGTTAATGCGTACTCACTAAAAGGCTAAGACGAAAATGCAAGAGTAGCTCTACATTTTCAGCTGTCTGTGAATGCCATTGAGCCTTGGTCTGTACTAGTGAAAACAGTTCCCATCCACTTTCCATACTGGTACAGCAAGAACATGGTAACTTTAAGAAAAGTGGATGATAAAGGGTGATAATTGCATTAGTTATAACATAAGGTATAATCTAGTGCCAATTAAATGGATTTTTTTTCTTCCTGACACAGTCATTATGATTTACCTACCTTTTTTTTTTTCTTTTTTCTTTTTTTTTTTTTTCCTTTTTATTATGAGACAGTCTTAATTTGTCGTAATTCTTGTCTTACTTCTCTCTGTGACTGTTAGTTTTTGTTTGCCCGGGGACGTTGAAAGCAATTGTGGACTCACCGTATTTATATGAAGCTGAACAAAAAGCAGGTGCTTGGTGCAAAGATCCTCTCCAGGCTGCAGATAAAATATACTTCATGCCGTGGACTCCGTATCGCACCGATACTTTGATAGAATATGCTTCTTTAGAGGACTTCCAAAACGGACGCCAGCAGACGACGTATAAACTCCCCAATCGAGTGGATGGTACCGGATTTGTGGTGTACGACGGCGCCGTCTTTTTTAACAAGGAAAGAACTAGGAACATAGTAAAATTTGACTTGAGGACTAGAATTAAGAGCGGAGAGGCCATAATCAATTATGCTAATTACCACGACACCTCTCCGTACCGATGGGGAGGAAAGACTGATATTGACTTGGCAGTTGATGAAAATGGCTTGTGGGTGATTTACGCCACGGAGCAAAACAACGGGATGATAGTGATTAGCCAGCTGAACCCCTACACCCTGCGCTTCGAGGCCACCTGGGAGACGACGTACGACAAGCGGGCGGCCTCCAACGCCTTCATGATCTGCGGGGTCCTGTACGTCGTGCGGTCGGTGTATCAGGACAACGAGAGCGAGACCGGCAAGAACGCCATCGATTACATCTACAACACCAGGTTAAGCCGAGGCGAGCACGTGGACGTTCCGTTCCCCAACCAGTACCAGTACATCGCCGCGGTGGATTACAACCCCAGAGACAACCAGCTGTACGTGTGGAACAACAACTTCATTCTGCGCTATTCTTTGGAGTTTGGCCCACCTGATCCTGCCCAAGGTAAGAAGTTGGGGTTTCTCATTTTTCATCTCTTCGTGCCTCCGTTCAGATGACGATGTTACGGTGTCTCGGGTCTTCGACTTGGCTCTCGGCAGAAAGGCGCGGAGGGCTGTTGGTCTGTGCCGGGCTGAGCGGCACAGCGTTATGGTGGCGCGAGGCGAATCTGCAGAACCTGTGAAGAGACAGAAACGCTTTATTTGGTTTGCAGGCTTGTGCTTTCCTTTTTATTTTTTTTCATACAAGTGTTTAGCTTTCCTGTGTTGGAGAATGAGTTGGGGCGTTGTTTATGTACTTTATACCATCAGTCCGTGCGGCTTCTGTAGCTGAACGAAGTTTGAGTTCATTCTCGCCGAGCCAGAAGCCTGTTCCCCTCCTTTCGGTGCTACCTGCCTTCTGAATTGATTACAACATACGTGCAGACCTTTTCGCTTCTTGGCGCCAGCAGCTGAGAGCGATGCGTGCTGGGAGGTCCCCGAGGAGCTGTGCGGGGTTAATGTGCAATACCAAGCATAAATATTTTTCCGCAGCCCTATTTTCACCGTTTCTAATGCCGGGTTTAGACAGGATTATCCGACATCTTCCGAGCAGGTTTCGCAGTAAGTCTGTTAGCGTTGCAGTTCAGCTCGCTTGAAGTTAGAGCGACGGCCTAAAAGGAGAGACACTAACTGCCACTAGAGGAAAGAAAAACGGAGGTCTTTCGATCTCAGAAATCCCTAAAACTGACAGGAACAGGCACAGCCACATATTAACATCTGCAGAGGAGAGTAAGTACCCAGAGAAATGCTCTGTGGCAGACGATGCGTGCAGCCAGGAGCTGAATGTTGATAAGCTACTTTGGCAAAGAAGGTAATACCGCCGCTTCTCTCCTCTAACCGGGACGCAGGTTTAGCCGGCGTGCTTTCTACTTCCAAAAAAAGGAGTAAGAACGGCTTCTTCCCCTCAGAAAACGCCGTCCTGCCCAAAAAAAGGAGCCTGTGCCCGCGCAGCCTGCGTGGCGGGCCCACGATGCCGTCAGCACGCGGGCAGCTTTGCCGGGTCCAAAAGGGCGTCAGGCGCAGCAGAACGGGGCAGTTCAGCACCGATGCCTCGGCCGTCGCCGGAGCCGAGGGACGGGCTGGCCAGTCTGGCTCCCGCAGACCTCCCTGGCGGTACGGTGCCAGGCTCAGGCAGGTTCCAGGCGGCTGGGGACTGAGCTCTGGCCGCGAGGGCAGCCGTCCTGGCCAGCCTGGCTCGCTGTGCGTCAAGCTCGTCCGTTCCTTTGGAGCTGCTCTTAGCAGAGACATCCCCACCTTTGTAATTAGAAAGAACTGAAAGCTTTCATTTTCATACATTCTCATGCATGTCACTTTTCATTCGGTTTAACCGGGGTGGAGATGCGTTTTCAATTCTCCAAAGCTTTAATAGTAAGAGGAGAAAATGGAGGTGCAGGCTCTAAGTAGCTTTCACAGCTCAGGCAGCTGCCATGAACGTGGCAAAAGCTAATCTTTAAATCATTGCATTGAAGGAAAAGTGTTAAGGAAGAGCAGGGAGAGAAGAAAAGGCTTTGTGGAATCCTTCCTTTGCTGTAGTAAACCACCAAAGGTCTCCAGTAAGACATTTCGTAATGTTTTCGATACGAGAGAGTCTCCAAAATCTGAAGTTACAGCGCATATGCTGGCCACAGCCCGTCTAATATCAGAAGGAGATTTCAGCATCCCCCAGCACCCCTTCACGTTCCCGGGTTCCTTGCTGGCATGCAAGGCAGGGGGAGAAACGCTTTATTCCTACCAGACCTAGACGAGAAGGGGTCCAGGGCACACTGCAGGGTGCTTGCCTCTCCTCTGAGCTCTTTGCCCAGTCATCCGTGAAGGCAGAGAAGGAATATTTTTTGAGTGATTTATGAGTTTGAGTTTCAAACGCATCACGACATGAGTAAATGTATTTTGATTATGGCCTTTCTAAAATACAAAAACCACATGAAGACACTAGGTTTATTTGAATATGTGGTGCTTATGTTCACAAACGGTATTTTTCCTTATGTAAAGCCAACACCAAATATTTTAATTTTGTGTGGATCTGTACATAGCAGATCTAAGAATATGTTTCAGTTCATTTCCTCTTTTGCCCAAGCCAATTGCCTGTAGTTGAAGAGTACTAAATTAAAGTAAAAATTATCTAATGTGATCGTCCTTGAGATGTACTGCTATAAAACCAAGAAGAGATTCTGTACAGTTTCTAACTCTGTATTTTATTTGTATTCTATTCTCAGTTCCTATTGTTTCAGCATAAAGTCTGTACAGATAGAAGATCAGTCCTTCTGTTGTTGCACAGTTAAAGGATCTAGCTATACAATAACACTTTTGGATTTTTTTTTTTTTTTCTCATGGAATTAGATTTTCAGCACATTTGATGAAGGGCACCTTTGTGTTCCTTCATTTCTGGTTTGGTTTGGGTTTTTTTGTGGTTGACTCTGATTTCTTCATCGTTTACTTAAAGACCTAGGTGTTGGGGTAGCGTTCTTTAAGTCGCCTAACACAGGAACCTTCTTGTAGTGTCTTTTGCAGAGGTACTTCAATATCAAGTATTTAATGGTGTCACAAGGTCAGTGCCTCGGAATTGGAAGTCGCGGCCTTTTCTGTTGGAACAGTTAGCTTGGGGCCGTTGCGGGCAGCTCAGCAATCCCTGTTCCCTCTGCTGCCGTGGGAGCAACAACGGTACATAGACACACACCGAGTCCTTTGTTTCCCCATCTGTCTGTCTTGGCTGTCAGTTCCTGTCTGTGCCCTAACTTCCAGCTACCGAGTGCTTCAAAACCAGCCGTCGTTCTTCCTACGCGAGAGATGAATTTGTCACATTTTAGCCACGCTTTTGAGCTCGAGGGTTTACGTTTACTCCCGGGGCCAAAATCGTGGACTCATCCAAACCTGCCTTTTTTTTTTTTTTCCTCTGTTGTTCCTGTCATTTTTCAATCTGCCAATGGAAACCTCTGGAACACCACTGTGATTCACCTCTCCCTTTGCCCTTGCTGCAAACCCAGGCCGTTTTGTCCTCCTGCAAGTGTCCGTGTTCCGTGCTCCCCGTATCCTTATTTCCTTCGAGAGAACTCTTCAGCTCTCTAGAACTGCGGATGCTGCAGCCAGGCTGCTGTTTCACCCTGACAATGGGGCCTGCTGCCCTTCGAGCTGCCCCCCTTAACCTCGTTCTTCATGTGTTGTTTTTTCTTCTCCCTTCTCGTGGGAATTACAGTACATAGATGTGGAAATGGTTTTCAGAGCTGCAGCTGACAAGTACCACTCAGATATTGCAGAAGAGCGCATTTTCCGAGGTTAACAAGGACCACTCAGATGTTGCAGAAGATCACGTTTGCTAAGGTTAAGTGTAAAAATCGCATTTAAAAATCAAAACCTTAATTTAGAAATAAAATAAAATCTATCTGGCCCTGCAGAGAGCCACTATGAAAATTTCGAAGCAAACCAGAGTTGTTATACCCTTGGTAAAACAAGTCCTGTCACATTCTTTCTGCAGGAGATAGCCAAGGGACCAAATGAATCCTCGCTGAAATAGGGGGTTTACGTGAAAAGACCAGGAAGAATGAAGGGAATTTTCCCCCTAAAAAGTGAATATGAGCGTGACATTGTAAGGTTTCCTTGGTAACAAAAAGAAGATAAATCCTTTTGTTCGGTGTTGGTGCGTTAGGGAGAGATTTCATCTGCGCTCATCCCAATTTGCGCTAACTGTGCAAACTGATCAGGCTGAAGTTGTCTCCCTGTTTGTACCGTGATACCCATCATTAAGATTTATTGGATCACGGCAGGAAAATATGGATGTGATGAGCGTGGACAGAGCAGAAACTCAGAGAGTACTATCACCACGGGCTTGAAATAGTAGGAAACTCGTGCAACGAAGTCTTTTATAACACCAAGAATCTATGACGGAGTCACGCAGCAAATTGTTAAATAAATTAGATTTTTGACTCTTATATCGAATCTGATGCACTGCAGATTGATTAAAGAGTGATTGTACCAGTAAAGACGACGTAACGGGGACGAGGTAGCACAATTCTTGATGGTAGCTGCTGCTGCTAATTTTGTGGCGTACTTGTTACCGTTCTCAGGGTATAAGTTCATAAATGGCTGTGTAAACACTTCGCTTTCAACTGAACGGGGCTTGGCAGGGTCAGGGCTGGAACCTGTGGGTAATTAGGGGAGTCTTAGCCACTTCCCTGCTCTTCACTGCAGCCTGGAAGCAGGCACCCGGCGGTAGGAGGCAGGGAAGCGTGGCTTCGCACAGGTTTCTGAGCTCCGTGGCTCCACACAGCAGCTCAGCCCGTGAAAACCTTTTGAGAACGAAGGCGAGCACGTGGATTTTCACGTGTCTGACTACGCTGAAATACCTGAGCTACAAGAGCATAGCTGAACAATCCATGCAGCTGATGGCTCCAACTGCCTGGAAGCCGGAGATGAAGGTGGAACCAGCGGTATTTTCAAGAGTGGTGCCTCATCTGGGCATTTCGATTTTAAATCTTAAGGTCAGAGATGTATTTTGGGTGGGGATTTTTTTTTTTTTTTTTTTTTTTGGTTTTTGCTTGGTTTGTTTTTTTAAAAAACTTATTTTATGCATGCTTAGAATAGAAACCTGTTGGCAAGGAATAGCGGATAGCTGGTGTGCCTTCTCGAAATCTGCTCTTCACTGTCAGTTGGGGACCCAAAGTTACTATTCCCCTGCTGTCCCAGGCAATTGTGTTATGGTTTTTATAGACATCACACTGTTAAACAGGTGTTAAAGTTTTACTCCAGTGGTGTCTTCATTTTTAGAAACAAATACTGTGCATAACTGTTTAAATCAGCTGTTAGGAACTGCATGAAACAAATGTGAATTAATTACCCTCAACTTGAGTCTTTGGATTTGCTTCCTATTGCTCCTTTCTTACTCTTTTTTTTTTTAATTTTACGAACGCTTTCTTCAGCTGATAGAGAGAGACACACCTATTCCTTAAAGAAAGGAAGAAGGTAGAAGAGATTTTGGGTTTCTCCTTGGCGTGGCAAGCCTAGCCAAAAAGTCTAAACCAGAATCTCTCCTTGTAAAAGCGGCTTTTTTGGTGTTGGACAAAAATGACGTATCGTCAGCCTTGTAGAGGCTCACCCCTGCTGCTCAGAGCAGTAGGTTAATAACCTCGACGTGGAGTTTGTTCTTCCTCTTAGTTGCGGTGTATTACTCATCACTGCCATTGCCTTCCGTGGGTGAAGCGCTCGGCAGATGCCATCGCCCTCGCCTTTCGGAACGGGAGCCATCAGGTGGCGGCAGCTATCGTGTGTCCTCTGGCAGCTCAGGAGAATGGCCTTGCGGATTAAGTTCCCCAACAGGTCATTAAAAACAAAGTGGTCTGCCTTCTAAAAGCTGGATGGATTCCTTAAAGTGATGTGTTGGGTCATTTCTTATTTTTTCAACCTCCTCCTTTCCCAGACTTCCAGCACTGCCTGAAGTTTCCTGGTGCATCCTTAAATATAGTGACTTCTCCTTTTAAAAAATTTAATTGCAGAGAAAATCTCTTAGAAATTATCTGGATTGTCTTCAGTTTTGTGAGAGAGGTGGTTTGAAGTCTTTCTCCTAAAATGCGAGATTACAGATACATTGCCGAAGTACGTACTGCTGCCGAGCTACGCAGGTCGTCTTTGAACCATGGGTGATAGGCTTTGAAATGGACTTTAATGGACAATTAAATCATTCTACCTAAAGCTGCGTCATGACAGCAGGGTGTTTTAGCTCAGGGTGCGGCTCAAAACGGTTTGAAAATTGTCACCTCGCTGCGGAACTTGAGGGGGTTGTTGTGAATTGTTACAGGGATGTTTTGCTCCTGAGGCGAAGCCATCCTGAACGCTGTGGAGTTTGGGTAGTAAGGGCGATAACGCGAATGCACGTTTCAGTGATGAAATATAGACTGATTAGCACAGCGTGTTAGGGGCTCGGTAGGAATAATTGGCTGTCCCCTGCGTCGTTCTCCGTCCCCACCAGCTCCCCGCTCCCAGGACCTGATTCAGCAGGCGTTGCCTGGCGCTTCTGCAAGGGACGGCAAAGGCTTTTGGCGAATGTTAATTGGGAGAGCACTGGAAGGCTGGGTGCGTTGTAATCAAAAGCAAATGACAGCGGTTTCACAAGATGCCAGGCAAGCGCTTGCGGAAGAGATCGAGGGTTTCAGCGGGTTTGCTGCGCAACTGCACAGACTGGGTTCGGGCAGCCAGGAGCGGGGCTGAAGAGGAGGCAGCCTCCAAAGTTCCTCATCTGCGCGCAAGCGAGGGATGAAAAAGCCCGTCTCTGCCTTTAGTCTTTAAAAACAGATCGTGGCGTTCAAAAACTCCACTCTAAATTCATATGAAAATAAGACGATGAATTCATATTCGAGACTCCTGATAAATTATAACTGAAATATAATTGAAAAAGGATTTTAAAATAATTGTTATCTGCCAAACTAGTGAAAGTTAATCTTACTCAAAACACTGACTTAAAAAGCATCTGCTGAAAGAAAGCGGGGCAGCTCTTCTGTTGGTTTTTGTTGATGATTTCATTTTAGAGAAGATGTATTGTCCAGTAAGTCAGAGTTCAAGGGCCTTGCAGAAGAAGAAAAGAAAAAAGAAAGAAAAAAGCCACTTTATCCACTGAAGTTAATCCTAAAATTAGCTTCATTTATTCCCGTGTCAGTTAGGATTTAAAAAATACTTGAGATGAGCTTATTTATTCTCGGCACAAGGATCTGTGCTTTTATGTGCCTGTAAAGCACTGTGAACACTAATGAAGGTTGGGAAATAATTAACGATAACTGGTTCAGTTGCTGCGCTCACTCATCGTTTCCGCCGTTGCCCAACACACGTTGGAAGGTGATGAACAGGAACGCAGGACTGTTCTCTCCTCTGGCATCGGCTGGTCTTGCCCCTGCCCAGCCCCAGCCCCTGCCTGGCTCAGGCTGTGCCCCACCAGCTCCAGCGACGCCTTCCCAACTGGGACCAGCTGGCGGAGGGGTTTCCCCTAAGCCGAGCCTGGCGTTTCAGGAGAGATTAAACTAGGGGCTTGCCACCGGCTTGAAGGAGTTGTGTCTTCGTGCCTGCTTTATCAAAAAAACCCAAAAGATGTTAAAGCCCAAAACGTTCCAGCACGTGCAGGCCGGGCGCTGCTCCTGTTGGGAGCTACTGGGGCGTGCTGGGGCGCTCTCAAGCAGAAGGACTGCTGAGCAGGGAGATGTGGCGGTCATTATTTTCCTGGAAGGTGTGTCCTGAGTGACTTGGAAGTTTTGGGGTCTGTTGTTTTAAAAAGGTCTCGTTAGTTCCAGCCCGCTGCCGTCGTCGTTAAAGCTGGACCGCGTGGTTTACGGCACGCCGCTTCAAGTGGTTCTGGCTGTTGAGTTGAAAACTGCAGAAGTGATTAAGTGATCTTTAATGGCTTTGAGCGTGTTTGTTAGGTACTGATAACTCACTAGCGCTGCCTTTCAGCCTGTAGAAATGGAACTATCAATTTTTATTACGGCAGAGATTGTTTGGAGAATGTGCTGAAACATCATACTGGTGTGAGCTGGGAGGAAAAAAAGAGTAATATTAAAACGAAGGAAAGGAGATGCAGAGAATCCTTTAAAACTACATAAATAACACTTAAAGGACTTTGCTGTTTTACAATTTTGAAGTAATTTATTTTATTATTACTCTTAATTTTCTCTGTGCAGTGCCTACCACAGCAGTGACCATAACTTCTTCAGCAGAGCTGTACAAAACCACGGTGTCCACCACTAGCACGACGTCCCAGAAAGGCCCCGTAAGCACGACGTTAGCTGGAGGAACAAAGGAAGGGAGCAGAGGACCCAAGCCGCCGCCGCCCATTTCCACAACCAAAATCCCTCCCGTGACAAGTTTTTTCCCCTTGCCGGAGAGATTCTGTGAACCGACTGAGGCCAGGGAGATTAGCTGGCCTCAGACGCAGAGAGGAATGATGGTTGAACGCCCTTGCCCCAAAGGAACGCGAGGTACTGCCTTTCACATTATATCTTCCTTTCAAGCAGACGTCTCCAAAGCAATGCGCCGCTCTCTTGTGGTGAACTTTGTTTTGAATCTCAAGCTCTTTGTCGCACGTTTTTTTTGTCCCTTGGAGGACGCGGTATCCGCAGGCAGTGGTCAAGTTTTACTCTGCCAAAGGCGCTGGAGCGTAAGCCCCAGCGTCACGTGGCGCATGTGCTTTTGAGAACTCAAGTCAGATTTTGGGGCTTGGCTTGAGGACGGTTGTGAAATAGGCTTACAGCTGCCTTTCTCATTCCGAGCTCCCCTCTGGACGAGCTCCAGGAAGAATCAAGGGCTTTTTGTTTGTTTGCAGAAAACGTCTGGTACTTTTCACTGACTTTTTTTATTGCTGTTTGTAATCTACATTATTTCCTTACGTTTTTGTCAGTTATTGTCAACTGCTGCTGTTAGCAGCATTCAGAATTGAACAGCGCTTGGGAGCACGGCGTAGCCGGTGGCCTGGCTGCGCGCAGAAAAATGATTTCCTCTTCACCGTTGTTTTCTACCATCTGTTGTAGGAACTGCCTCGTATCTCTGCCTGGTCCTAACGGGAACGTGGAACCCCAAAGGCCCTGATCTTAGCAACTGCACCTCACACTGGGTAAATCAGCTGGCTCAGAAGGTTGGTTGAAACCTTTTAATCTGGTGATTGAGGATTTTAACTCGGAGCATTAATAATTCAGCTTGTTGAAGGCGTCTTTATTACTCCCTGTTCATTTAAAGTAGAAGGAGTTACTTGGTGTGCAAAGCAGTGGCCAACAGCTAGGTTCGTCTGTGGGTTTTGGTACGCCCTCCCTCTCAGTTCTTGTGCTGAATCTGTGATGACCCGTTGTCCTCGCTCCTTAAAGCGAGGTGGCTTTGCTGGTGTTCACAAAACAAAAGCCGTATTTGCTTAATGAATCAAATAATCGTAAATCACACAGCAAAAACTGTGGTATACAGCGAGGTTTTTTTGGTTCAGGAAAAATTATACTGTAATAAATAGATTTTTGTCTGAGTGCATTAATAACGGTGTGATTAAAGCACAGAGCCACTTTCTGTGTATTCCCTCCCCACTGAGATTTACTAAGTTTATGAAAACTGGATAATTTGTTGTCAGTACCAGGCTACTTGACTTTCAAATGCCTCGAGCAGTGGTAGGAACAAATAGATTTCTTACCGTCTGATAACGGCAGTAAAAGAAAAGTGAGGATGAATAGAAGATCTAGCCCAAAAGTCCCGGTCTGGTTGCTGGTTTTGATGGCTGTTAAGAACTGCTTTTGTGTGTCACGGATCTAAGAACCTTTAATCTTCTGAGATAAAGAGAACGTTATTGGTCTCAATTAGTTGCAGATTTCCACGTACGTGCGAATGGTTATTTCACCACAACAAAGGTACACGGGGAATTGGAATTAGGAGCCGCAAGCCAAACAAGGGACCCTGCTGAGATAATATAAATTGTCATTTCAGATCCGAAGTGGGGAGAACGCTGCTAGTCTGGCCAACGAGCTGGCTAAGCACACCAAAGGCCCGGTCTTCGCTGGCGATGTGAGTTCTTCGGTGAGGCTGATGGAGCAGCTCGTGGACATTCTGGATGCTCAGCTGCAGGAGCTGCGGCCCAGTGAAAAAGACTCTGCTGGAAGGAGTTACAACAAGGTACACGCCTCCCGTCACCTCCCCCTGCTGGGATAACCATTGCCCTTGTGGGTTTTTTTGGTTTTTTTCCCTTTCAAAAATATGAAACTATACTTTGTTCCCGTGTGCTTATAGTTCTGGAATAAACATGTAAGAGAAAACAGCAGTAAATACCCAGCGGAAAGTTGCAATTACCTTCTTCAGGGAATAGGATGTAATTCACAATAGCTGACTGGTCCTAAAGCACAGAGCTGTGTCCCTTATTAAAATCTGGAGCGCGTTCTCACCAGTGTGCGGGAAATGGGCATTAGCTCTCCGAAATTCTGTAACAAATCAGCGTGGTGATCCAGCGCTCCTTTTAACCCCGAACGTGTAATAAAATCAGTGGGACTCTGCATAGGTGCAGGGTTTTATTTTCATCTGACTTCCTGCAGAATAACAGCACTCTCTGAGCCTTTTAAAGACGCCAGCATCGCTTATAATTGAGCTTTATAAAAATGCCTTAATCCGCGTAGCCGAAACACGAATAACTGTGTTCTCTGGAATGATGTTCAGAGAAAACGTCTGTCTTTGTGGTTTAAGTACAAATCACAAGTGCTGTTACCATTCCTCTCCTTCTCAGAGGAGACGCTGTGTTTCTTGGCCTCTTCCTTGCCTCAGCTTAGTCAACAAGCTACAAACGAAACATTTTTTCAGCCTCCTTCAGAGAGCGAGCTCCGTGCTCTCCTCTCTTATTTTGGCGGTAGTTTTATTTACAGTCCCTTGCTGCCCTTAAAAGAGTTTTCCCAGAGACAGACCGAGTGCCCGCACAGGGATTTTTCTCCTTTGACCTTTTCTCACAAATCCCACCGTTTGGGCAAAGATAACTGGGCGCCTGTGTGAAGGTTGGGGGAAAATGTTTCCTGTGTGATGGTTTTTTTGCAGCCATCGCTGGACAGAAACCAGATGAATGTCCAGGCTGTGGTTCAAATTCGGGATTTGAAACACCAGAACTTAATTTTTTTTTTTTTTTTTTGATATTTCTGAAGCTTTCCAGAGTGTGTCTAACTTCTGATTTTCTTTTTTCTTACTAAAAAGCTCCAAAAACGAGAGAAGACATGCAGGGCTTACCTTAAGGTATCTCTCCTGTGCTGTCACCCTGCTTTCTCCCCGCTTCAGCAACCTGCCACGCTTTATCATCTTGCTGCATGATCCTGTGTATTTCAGTCTTTGATAAATGTGTATTGTGCCCCGTATCAGCTGTACAAATGTTGGCTTTGCACAGGTGTAACACTGAGAAAAAAAAAAAAAAAAATTGAAGATCAAAGTTTATACCTCTTTTACCTCAACTTGTTCAAAACTAAAAGAGCAGAAATGGTTGTTCTCTGAATTGGAAGTAACATCTCTCTCATAATACAACTTTGGGTGGAGGAAAAAGCTGGCAACTGAACAGAAATTACTGCAGCTTGGTAGTATTTAATATCAAAGACTGTTTGGAGTTAATTTGCTTGCATGAAAAACGTACATTATGTAGCCTGCTTTGTTCTGTGTGTATTCTTACACCTAGTAAAACCACTCCTCCTTACAGCTGTAAGAGTTGTTACACAGGGCAGATTCAGTGACTTCAGGATAAAACGTAGAGACAAGCCCTTCTCTAACTTCACCAGTGCAGTGTGTGCCGCGTGTCCCATTCACCAGGCTGTGTGGAAGGCATGTAACGCATCGCTACCCGATTTGCAGTCCCTTTCCCTCTGCTGTAGAACGGCTGTCCGCAGCGGCCGGCTCCTGCCCTGCAGCGCGGTGGCAGCCGTGCCGCCTCGCGCCTCTGAAGAAGGGAAAAAAGTCCTAGAACAGATCGTGTCTGGCTCTGAAAAATTTTATTGCACGTTTTTTCAAAGTTTCTTTTAAAATACTGGTGTTTACTTGTACCCTCTGAGATGAAATGTAAGAAGGAGTTTTGAAAAGAACTTTGAAATACTTTGCGACATAATAAAATAATTCAGGCTCTTACTGAAGGGGCATTTCTCTGCGCAGGGCACTTCTGTCTTTTATCCTGCAGCCCAGGAAGGGGATGAGAGATGTCCAGTTGTGCAAAAATTTGACAAAAAGAGACAAAGATCCGGAGAGATAACAGTTGTAATAGCTTTTTTTAGTAGAAAATGGTTTTTAATAGCAAAGGGAAACCCAGGTTTGAGCAGGGCGAGTTTCCTTACTTCGTGTTCAGTAGCAAACGTGACGGTGAGAAGAGCAGCAAGGGGGTTGCTCCGACACCTGCCTTGTGGCGCTGCGTGGTCTCCCCTCGGGCTGCAGGCAGCGGGTGTTTTCCGGGGGAAAAACGCAGAGTTTGCTTATCCCGGGATAAATAAAAAGGGTTCCTTGTTCATGAGGGCACAGCGTCAGCGCCGTGTGGAGATACTCAAGAAACCATAGCACAACCTTAATTTCCAGCCGGCATCGTTCTCTGTAGGTCTCAAATGGGCTTCTCTGCTTAGATAAGGCTAATAAACCTCTTGAAATTACAAATCAAAAGCTGACTTACACCATGCAAATGAAGCAAGTTCCCACTTTGTGACAGAGGATTCATTTGTACCTCAGATTAGAGGCTCCAATCTGTATTTCTTGGTGACTAATGAATCTGGCCTCTGCAGACCAATTTCTGTTCCACTCTAGTTAATGGCTGCAGCAGTATCGGTGCGAGCATTTTGACTGTTCTGTCTCCCATTAGAGAAGGAAAAAAGGCTTTTCATGCCACTTCGAAGCATCTTCCACCTGCCAGGAAGGTCGTGGTGGCTCACAATGTAGACAGAAAGAGGATATTAAAATGGAGTCGGCTAATTAATCTTGCTCTGACAATAGCCTTGACCGACTTTTCCTATTCGTTTATTTGCACAATAAAGTATTCCAGACCGACATCTTTCTGTTTGTACAATGTGTTCTGTTTCCATTTCCAACGCTTTCAAATTGATCAAACAAATTATATATATGCTTGATGACACATTACGACTGGGTAAATGGGACAGAGTAAACAGGGTGTTTCAGCAATGCATGGCGTCCTCAGCGCACAGCATCCGGAATGCACAGCTGCATTATGCATTAACGTGAGAGCCTGCCTCCGATTGATTAACTGATTACTCTGATTGATTGGATTATTTTGTAAAAATAATGTAATCATGTCACTGAATTCTTCTTCTTCCTTATTTACTGTTACTTTACGTGCAGCCTAATGAACCTTAAAACGTGATGATAGAGTTGTTCCAGGCAAGACTTCCAAAATGGCACCTTTACTCAAGTTTTACTCTTTTGCCTTCCCTGATAACAGGGACAGTCAGTGGATGTCTTGTTTGCTCTATTGATTTCCCTTTTTAACTGACCTTTGTGCAGCAGTGGGAGTCAGTAATCTTTTTAAGTGTCTATGAACAGGTACAGGAACAGGAGGTGGGGGCCCGAGTGGCCTGGGCTCATTTGTATCCCCTGAGTCAGCTTCGTGCCGTGCCTCCTGTAATAAAGGAGGCAGTTTGTCATAGACAAGTAGCTCGCCGTGCTGCGACTGCACGGGTTGGGCTCAGTTTCCAGAAGAGTAGTATTGTCATTTCAGCCTAAACGGCAGATTTTTAAATAGAAGTTATACGTTTTGACGTTAACTGGGAGATGAAAGCTTCGGGCAAAACTTGTGGCGTTTATTTTTGCATTTTTCAGCACGTTAATAAGACCGCCTTTGTGTCTGGGGCGAGACGAGTCAAAGCTGCACGTTTACCACTTAGAGACCGTGCGGTGCTGGTGGCTCACTGCACTGCTGCTCCTGCTGATCCAGCCAGGGGAAGGAGAATGTTCTTATGTTGAAGGTCCTTTTCCAGTGCCATTAAATGGCAGTAAATCATTCCGACACTGAAGTATTATAATTGTTGCCAGGTACCGTTGGAACTTTTCCCCAGCTGCCCAGGGCGGTCAGACCTAATGGTAGTTCTCTAATGCACGCAGGCAATTGTGGATACGGTGGACAACCTGCTCAGGCCTGAAGCTCTGGAGTCCTGGAAGGACATGAACTCTTCAGAACAAGCCCACGCAGCCACCATGCTTCTTGATACGTTGGAAGAAGGGGCTTTTGTCTTGGCTGATAATCTCTTAGAACCAACCAGGGTCTCGATGCCCACAGAAAATATCGGTGAGCGGGTTTCTTTTCAAGTGTGTTTTAACGCGCCGCGCGTTGTCTGTACGCAAAATCGGGAAAAAATATTCCGGGTGGCGATGTGCTCTTTGAAAGCTGAGCTGCACGGCGTTTGGTGGAAGGGTAGGTGCTCCGAAGCAGGGCAGGCGTGCTTGGCTTGTTTAGTTCTTCAGAATTAGCATTCTCCTTCAGTGCCATTCATACAGCGTGACGTGGAAAGCCGTGGACGTTGCAAAAGTTGATTTACCGCTGAAAAATCGTTAGCAGAACGTATGGGTATGAAGAGTGCTTAAATGGCAGGGTATGGATTTTTGGAGGTAACTGCTTTCTGTAGAGCTGCAGAAATGCTTTCCTGTTATATATAAACCGTTCCTAATGAATTTAAATTACTTTTTTTTTTTTTTTTCAACGTTCTCTGCCAGTTAAATATTTCAGGCACTCAGAACGTCGGCCAAATGTTTATATTAAACATGACTGCCTTCAGGTAAAAATGTGTTCAGTGAACTACATCTCCCATAATGCAGAATAGCTATGCTCCAGAGACTGCAAAATAGCTGGAGATAGTTGGAGCATGGTTTGGAATTTAAGTGGTGACAGAGAAATGAAGGGGTTTGGTATTAGAGATGTGCAAATATTGGTACAGGGCGTGTGTTACGGCAAAAATCATTGCTGTGCATAAAATTAAAATGCCTTTGTCTTATTAGAGGGATTAATGTAGTCTCAGTGAGGTACAAGGAAGCTGCAAGGCTGCTAATTTGAGGGGTACCGAGATGGAGGCTTGGAACAGGCTGCAGAAATGAGACTTTCCACGTTTCAACGTCTGTGTGTTGGTAACTGCAGAAGGTGACTCTGCCTAGATTTAATTGGCGTAGGAAGATCCGGGGAAAGGCGTTACGGTCCGTCGTCGACGGAACCGCGCCGGTTGTTGGTGCAGGAAGGTGGGAATAGTCAGGGCGAACCTCTCTGGGGCTCTACAGGAGCAGTTCCGTGGAGCTCAGTAGCCTGGACGTCGCTTCTGTGATGAGCTGTCTCCAAGCCGCCGTTGGTGGCTCAGCGCTCGTGCCACGCGGGGCTGGATCCCCAGCGCGCGCACCGAGTGCTGTCCCTTAGTAGTGAGCACGAGGTTTGGTTGAAAAAAATAACTCTCTCTGCTTGAAACATGGAGCACAGGCCTGTCTTAGGGTGGCAGATGGGGACAGCAGTGAGAAACCCAAATAAAGGGTTTGGGGGAAGAATACTGTCATCTGGCACGTTGCCTTCTGGCCAAGAGACTTCTCTGCATTCTCTTCTTACCACTCCCCCCCCCTCTCTCTGTTCTGCGTAGTTCTGGATGTTGCAGTGCTCATTACGGAGGGCCAGGTGCAGGACTTGAAATTTCCTCAGGGCAGCAAAGGAGGCAACTCGATTCAGCTCTCCGCAAGCACCGTGAAACAGAACAGCAGGAACGGTGAGTCTCGGGCACGCAGCACTGAAACTCCATTAACTTCTCTAAAACCTGCATTACCTCCCCTAATTAAAATATCAAAACAAAACACAACAAAACTCCTCTGTGGCTTTTTTCTCAACGAACATGAGTACCTGGGCGTTCTTCTTCATACCCATAGCCTGAAAACGCCTCTCTGTTCCCTGCTGCGTTATTGCCCGTCCCTTAGAGCACGGGTTGCTGTCTTTCTGTCAAGCTCTGGGGCACGACGACGGGGTGGTTTTTTTTGTCTTTTGTAGGATTAGCCAAACTGGTTTTCATCATTTACAAAAGCTTGGGGCGTTTTCTCAGTACTGAAAATGCCACCATAAAGCTCGGCAGCGACTTCGCAGGGCGGAACAGCACGATCGCCGTCAACTCCCACGTCATCGCGGCCTCTATCAACAAGGAGTCCAGCCGGGTGTACCTGACGGATCCTGTGCATTTCACGCTGGAGCACATTGATGTGAGTTATGCTAATGAATTAATGGGAAGGTCATAAAATCAGCAAGAGAGAGAAGCAATGCAGAAAAATAACCTTTTTTCCATTTGAATTTTAAATGTTGGACTAGGTCAGAGACACAACCTTAGTTAAGTCTGTGAACATAAAATTAAATGAGCCTGGTTCAGTGATTATTAGAACTTAAGTGTATTCTTAATGAAAGCTAATTCAGTAATCAACATGAAAATGTAAATGACTAATTTGTTTCTAACTGAAAATTAACTCTTACCTCAGTAGCAGGGCAGAAAATAACTGTTAGGATTCTTGATGGTCTGATGTAGCAAGTTTTAATGACGCTTTAACTTTCTGCATTAGTTTTAGACCAAGTTCTGGAAGCCTGTACAAATTGTTTAAATGCATTTATTTAGGGAAGAATAAAGTGTTATGTCTTTGTTATACTTTAATCTTGTGTATATTTTCTTCACAGCAGTTCATTTGTTGTGTTTCTTTGCTCGTTAGTTTGGTCCTTTCTGTTTTCATGTCTCACATGGGAAACATAAATAATCAGTACCATGATAGAGAAAACGTGGTTGGGTTTTCCTCTCATTTGGCCTCTTTTTATAAGTCTCTTTTGATTTTTTTTTTCATCAAAATAGATAGGCGTTGAGGAATGAACTTTTTCCTGGTGTCTGTTCACATGACTTTGGCCTGGCCAAAGGTGAGAGGCAAGGGAAAAAGTTGATGTTTTCCAATTCTCAATTACAGGAAAAATATCTTCAGGATAAACTCACAGTCCTAATTTTGCAGAAAGCAGAAATGGCTATAATGTACCATCAGTCCATAAAATCGTAAGATGGAAATGGTAATTGTTTAAAATTGGGTCTACAGTAATTGAGACTACGCTTTAGAGTGTTTCGGACTATAAAGTCCCTTTTAAACTAGATGTCTTCCTTGTATAACAGAGTCCACAGTTTTGCTGATGAAAAACTTTATTGTCCGAAACATGCAAAGTTTAATCTAAATTACCCTTTACACATACTAAGCAATTGTTATTGCCATCTTGGTGTGTAAAATCCTCACTTTATGTTATCCTTTTATCTCCCAGCCTGACAATTATTTCAATGCAAATTGTTCCTTCTGGAACTACTCAGAGAGGACGATGATGGGATACTGGTCAACTCAAGGCTGCAAACTGGTGGACACAAATAAAACTCACACAACGTGTGCTTGCAGTCACCTAACCAACTTCGCAATTCTTATGGCTCATCGGGAAATCGTGGTAGGTAATGATGTTTCTAGCCGTCGGCGGGGGACAAACTTTTAAAGATTTATCTATCAATTTTCAGCAAGATCCAAAATGGCCGAAGTTTTCTAAGTATTTATAGCTTCTACCCACTCCGTCCAATGCAATTTGCTTTCTGTAGCACTTTTCTTCCTCACCCGTAAAGTTACGAGCAGAGTAATGGGAAAGAAAAACAAGGAGGCACAAGAGTTTTCTTCAAATCCTATTTTGAAGTTGCTGACCAACCTTACAACCATTGTGCAGAATTTGCCCGGTACGGCTGGAGAGTGTCGGTAGGGGCAGCGGTGCAGGCTCTTCCCTGGAAGCACAGGGGAAGAGCAGGAAGGTCAAGGAGCGTCCATCCGGGTTTTTGAAATGCCTCTTCATACTCTTGAAATTTTCTTGTCTAGTTAAAGCACTGAGTGGGTGTGAGGGGGCCCGGAGCGTGCAATATCTGCAGGGATGGGAGGCTTCTCATAAAGCCATTGTATCCTGAAAGGTCGCTGAAAAGATAACAGAGGTGACAGGAGTGATTCTGTCACCGCTGAAGGAAGGACCTTAGCTAAACATGAGACAAGAGCTGGAGTCACATGTGTAACGTCTCCTGCATGTTGTCCCAGCTGGTCTGTTGCTTTCTTCTCCACCGGGGAGTTGCGGGTCTGTAGGACAGAACACGCACTCTTACAGGAGGTCCCAGGGAAAGCTCTCCTCTTTCCTTGCATCAGAGCCTAGTGGCACTCTGAAATGGTTATGTTTCTCTACTTGTTCTTGCCTGGTAAGTTTACAGGGAGCCGTGGGAAAAGTAAAAATGCTGTCCGATCTGGCAAAAAGAGTCACGTTTTTCTCTGAGACCTGCTCCTTTTCTGCTTACCCTAATCCTGCTCTTCTGGGAAGCTGACCTGAGACTGAGAAATTACTGAGCACCTTTTGCCCATCTCATGTAATGAACAAGTAACTTTTCTGGATGCTACCTGTGAAAATCGGGTTTTGTTTATACTCATAAAGAGTCATATTAATTTTCTCCATTCTTGGTTATTTCTAGTACAAAGATGGAGTGCACGAATTGCTCCTCACTGTCATCACCTGGGTGGGAATTGTCATCTCTCTTGTTTGCCTGGCCATCTGCATCTTCACATTCTGTTTTTTCCGTGGCCTGCAAAGTGATCGTAACACTATTCACAAGAACCTTTGTATCAACCTATTCATTGCTGAGTTCATTTTCCTCATAGGCATCGATAAGACAGAGTACAAGGTAAGTTTCCTCTGTGTGTACTGGTCTTGTTCTCCGAAATGACTGTTTGAAATGGAGTTGAATTAAAACATGACAACACTGCCGAGCTTTCAGCGTTCTGACACAGCAAGGCTGAAATGAAAGCTCAGCGTGAAAATAAGATAGGCATGTTCATAAATAGTATTTACGTCCATCAGAAATATCACTGTGGCCTTAATTTCCCACTTACTGCCGTGGGTTTCATTTTCAGTTGAGAAACATCGGCTATTAACGAAGCAGGTGGTTCAACTTTTGAAAGAGGAGACAAAATGTAATGTTGACCTACTAAGAACATACACGTTTTCTCTGTATTGTCCTATGTCTGGACAGCTATTGACTACTTTTTTCTGTGTATATTAGTACAGAGCCTTATCTGTATATTTACGCATTTTTCACACCGCACGTTCTTGCAGGTTTTTTGGCATTGTGTCGGCGAAATTAATTCTGAAGCAATCCATTGGGTTGAAATCTAATAATTCAGTGTAGTTTCATCCAGAACTCGGCCACAGGGGCGAGTATTCGGATTGATTTCTGTTATGACAGTAGAAACTTCCATAATTACAGCAGATAAACATGGCTTGCTGGCCACGTCGTAAGTTTAAATAAGCGGTGTTACCTTAGGCATCTGGAACCAACACTTCATGTCTCAGATTATCTAAGCGGTTAAGTCCTAAAACCACATACATTTCAAAATCAGAGAGCTGCTTATAAATTTGCAAAGCCCGCTCTGTGATTGAAGACTGGGGGGTGAGGGTGCGATTGCCTTACCTTCAGTCCCACTGTTGAGCTAATTTACTCTCTGTGGCCAGACATTAGTGTTTTCAAATGTTCAGTGTATGCGTTCAGGTAGGGAAAATGCCCCTGAATTTGTGAAAGATCTCTGATAGAAGTACGTGCTGCTCTGTGACACACTGTTTAACTGGAGATGTGATGGTGTGAAGATTTTGTGGTTTATATTTCCGTCTTTCTTTTTCTCTGCAGATTGCATGTCCCATATTCGCAGGTCTCTTACACTTTTTCTTCCTGGCAGCCTTTGCCTGGATGTGTCTAGAAGGAGTGCAGCTTTATCTAATGTTAGTAGAAGTATTTGAAAGTGAATATTCCAGGAAGAAGTACTATTATGTTGCTGGCTACCTCTTCCCTGCTACAGTAGTTGGTGTCTCAGCAGCTATTGACTATAAGAGCTATGGAACAGAGAAAGCGTAAGTAATTGCAAGTGACCTGAGTGTTTTTCAAGTGAATAATTTTTTAAAGCCTATTAGTTGTCAGAGGGTCCCTGACAGACTAAAATACCGTCTGAAAGCTTTATTTGTGAGAGAATGGCAATGCTGTGCACAAATTACAATCAAGTCTTTTGTAATTCTCTAGGTTCAGAGGATTTGTACTCTAGAGAGACCGGTTCTAAATTATGGTCTTTCTTTTAACACAAAAGATTGACCTGAAACAAATTGAAAAAGTAAATAACTTTTTGGCCTCAAATGTATATCAAGTAAAAAAATCTCAACTTAAAGTATCTGACAGGCCTAACCACCCAGTTTTAAGCTAATGCTTCATTAGATCTCTTTGTTGAGCTGCCCCTCCAGCTAACTCTCGTCCTGAATTATGACAGTACAGTATTCCAGCCCGTATGTTTCATTTTGATAATACTTCATCAGGCAAGTAGAGCAGGATGAAAATTAGCCACTGCCTTTTATTGACGAAAATACAGATACAGACAGAAAGTGGCAGAAGGTAGACAGAAAGCGTTTTTGAGGATTTGAGTTGCTGGAGGCATGAATTTGCCTTCCAGTAGTGTTTACGTTGTCCTTTGATGACATTAGTTACAGAATGGGAAGGTACTGTTGACTACAAGAAAGCCGCTTGATTTTGCTGCTGCTGAAAGACACCTGAGAGCAGTTCAGCGGGGAGCGGGGCTGGGTGAGAACCGGCTCGCTAGGCAAGGCTGGCCCTCACAGGTTTACCCGCCGTGCAGTCTGGTGTCATGGTGTTGGTGCTCTGCTCTTCAGCTCCCAGCTGGGGCGCTTTATTTACGCCCTGTTGTTTTTCAGCAAGGCAGTTCAGGCAGCTGAACGTTTCCTGTCCCCTGTTCCTCGGGAGGAAGCGCTTTGCATAGGACATAAATAAGTTAAAAGCAGGTTTTGAAGATTACGTGGGAAACCTGTGAAAAACACTTAGCTGACGTTAGATTCGTCAGCCCACGATGGCACCCGTCACCAAGGCTTTGGCTGAAAGGAGAGAGGGCTCGAGTTGGTGTAGTTTCTTCTTACCTGTTTGCCATTCCTGATGATGTATTTTCAAGTTCCATAGTGTTGTTAAACAGGACTCACAGAAGAGTTTGAGGTTGGGAAGAATTGTCCATGGACTAAGTGGTAGTGTGCAATGTTTATCAGTGTTTACTGGCAAAATGTTGGCTTAAGAACTCTTTTCCCGTTTATGGGACTGAGGTGCTAATGCAGTTGTTCACTTTTCATTCTCTTTTTTTTCCACGATAGTTGCTGGCTCCATGTAGATAACTATTTTATCTGGAGTTTCATTGGGCCTGTTACCTTTATTATTCTGGTAAGAACTTTGTTTTTTCCTTTCCTTTCCTTTTAGGTTGCCCCATAGCAAAGCTAAAATAACACCAGTCATTACCATGCTTATTCACAAGACATTTCATGAATATGCTTATAAACAATTCGTAACGTGACCAGTGGTTATATAAATGTTTAAAAATCTTTAAAGAGTGCTGCCCAAATGATTAATTGTCAAAGCTGTGGTGGCACTTCAGCGCAGCCATCTTTTCCTAATGGCTTCAGCTCTGAAGGTCGTATTGACATGTGTAGTCATACGAAAAATCAATGAGGTACTAAACACAGGGGTTTTTTAAAGGAACCATTATTATTATTGCTTTCAATTGAGTCACTATTGTACACGTTCCAGAATTTAACTGTTAATTATCCAACGTAATTATCTCAAAAGGGTGTTCTAATGCATTGGGTAGTTAAATAAATCTTACATTTCATTACACTTTCACAGCATTTGTATGTGTATTTGCACATGCGCATTTTCCCGTGACTGCTTCTGTGTGTATTTATGCTGCATGCAATGTATGTCAGACATACAAGTTCATCTGGTTTAGTATAAATAATAGAATATGATGTTACCAGTAGAAAGCGTGTCCTTGCAGCCGTTTGAGTAAAGCGGTTGTACACGTGCACACCCGTCTGTACAGCTCACGACCGACTGTCGCGTTCACACACCAGTTACCCGCTCCCTGAGCGCTCGCAGGTAAAAAGCCACGTAGCCGTGTGTCAGCCCCGGGAGAAAACGCCTCCCTGTTACTCCAGACGATCACTGCCAACACTGCACAGCGCAGGGATTTGGAAGGCGAGGGAAGGCAAGGTGGGCATTTTGGATCACCTTGTTTCTCCCCGCTAGTTCAGTGTCTTTAAGCCTGGCAATACTTGGGAAATACTCCAGAAGGCTGGTGCTGGGGACGTCGCCGATGTTCACAGAGAGCTTTTCTCATCACTGCTGAGAGTTTGGAAGGATGGATTCATTTGTTTTCATGCTTTTGGAGTAGTTGCCTGTTCCCCTGCCTTTACACGGCAGTAGAGTTGCGAAAAGTTAACACAAGTTCAGTTCCCTTGGATTTCCAAATTTCAGGAATTGTGTTTTGTCATCACAATTGATGTACATGCATCAGGCATGGTTTTGAGATTTCTGACTTTTCTAGAGCTATACGCCAGACGTTCTATTTCAGCATTTTTTGTAGCTTATAGTTTGCTTCTCCATCTAAAAACAAACTGATCCTTTCGTTATGGAACTTTCTATAAAAAATGTACCCAGCCAGTCTTTTGTGGGTGCTTTATTCCTTCCTGGTACCTTCAGTGTTGAGACAAGCTTACATATATTTAGGTTTGTTTTACTCTCTGTTCCTATCAAAAACTATTTCAGTCCTTAAGCAGTCGCTTACGAAAAGATGGTTGTGCAGTGTAGAAGTCATTTGAGTTCACTGGCATATTTTCAAAGAAATAGTGTAGATGCCAAAACTCCTGTGCGTGTGAGTTGAATTAGAACGATTATAGTGTTTGTAAGATTTAAGTGTAGACCATAGCAGTTGTACAGAGTTTATTCTAAACACATTTAAATTAAATCAAGTCTCAGGGTGATAGGGATTCTTTTTTAATTAAACCTTCGATTACAATTGAACAGTATACTTAGTATTTTCACGATGATAGACAGTATTCTTCCGCACAAAGCTGTTTCTTGCAGTTGTTGTCGTCATTACTAGAAAATTGTTCTAAGTTCCGTGCCGCAGCAGTTCAGTTACCTCAAGTCTGATTGTGCGGTGATAATTTTCCCTTTTGTGTCTGGCTTTTTATTTTATTGTTACTGGGAGTGTTTTGCTAAGTCACCTCTATTTCTCTCTCTTGCTTTAAAATAACATTTCACATGGGAAGCTCAGGGCATTGCTGACGGCTCTTTCACTTCCTCATAACCAGGTCAGAGTGAGAATAGAGGTGAAGGGCATTTAATCATATTGACCATGTACAGACATAGTTCACTATTATTTACTGGCCATGACATTATTATCCTCCAGCAAATCATTTAGGCTGAGACGCAAAAGGCCTTTGGGAGCAGTATTCCCAACTTCAAAAATATGAAACAGCAGGTAGCAATCACAGCACAGTTCCTGGGAGTAATTCTTCTCCAGCAATTGCTTTGCCCTCTAATCGTCCCAACTGAGAAAGCAAGAGAGAGTGGAGGAAGACGTGTGAGAAGTGTAATGGCTGAAAAGTAGTGCGTCGTGTGCAGTGGAACCAAAGAGCCGTGTTTGTAGGGTGACCCGCTTGGCGTCGGGAGCACGTGAGGGCTTCACCTCGGTAGGCTTTCTGACATCTTAGATCACTTTGATGATTCTCAGTTTAATAGTACTGTCAATGCACATAAACCCTTTTTTGGACAGTATTGCCTGCTACTTTATTTACAAATCCTTCTCCAAGTTTGTAGGCGTTTGCACTGGTGTTTATATACAGCTCTGCCCAAAGCGAGGGTGGGCAGTATGAGGGGGGAAGCATGGGGTTCCTCAGCGCATCTTCTGAGGAACTTTCACCTTCACTGTGTCCATGGTCTGTCGTGCCTTTGGGCACCAGGGTTATTATATCTATGAGAAAAGAACATGTAAGTAATGAGTGGTGGGAAACCATTAGTATGCCTGAAATGGTTTAATGAAAGCTTGGATCATGATACGTCAGGAGCTGTTCTTATCATTTGGACAGCTCCATCTGCATCTTTAATAATTAATTCAGTTCAGTAAGAGTTCAGTGTGCACACTCATTTAGGAGCCTTCTTCAGAGAGCACCTCTCTCGCTGCCAGTCCCAGAGAGAAATAGGCTTCTGCATGGCTAAGAGCAAAGATCTGGAGATACAAGAGCAGTTTTAGAGCTGCATTTGCAAGGTAACAAAAGCTCGGGGGAGTTCAAAAAGGGTCAGAACATGTGCAGTTCAGCTAGGTTACTTCAGAGTGGTGTTTCTGTTCTTCTGTCTTATCATATCCATGTCAGCACTGCAGGCTGTGTGGAATGAATTTTAAGCTGCTAAGCTCAGGCGGACGTGATTCAATTGAGCGGGTTCATGGCTATAAAACAAACAGCACGCTCCTGTAATCTATGGTCAGAAAAGCCTGGGAATGTTGACTTCTGTGTAGCTCCACATTCATTCATGCCCGAGGAATGGGGGACGTTGGTTTGACTTCCAGTCAGTCAAAACTACTGGAGCTGGCTTCTCGCAGGTGGAGCCAATGTATTAGGCTACCGAAGGTTGTTTAAGCCAAAATTCCTGGGATGTCCTGTGCCGTTAACATAGGAAAGATGGTTTCTGTTTTCACTGGGGTCAAGGCGTTGCTTCACCAAAATCAGTGGGCGAGTACCTACAGATGCACGCGTAATCGAGCTCCGCGTGTGGAAATGGTCTGTATTTGTGAGCTTGTGCATACAAGTAACGTGCATACAGCTTTGTGTAGGAGACACTTGATAAATGGCATTTATGTATTGCTCACGGGGGGAAATTTATCACAATTATTGCAAAATCTAGCTTTACTGGGCTACTGATTCCTTGTACCTGCAACTCATTCCCATCCATTAGTCTTCTGTGCAGGTTGTTACATCCACTTTTTTCAAAAGTTAATTTGGCTTGAAGACACTCCCCCTCTCAAAATTACTAGGTTTCAGGTGCCAGAAAAACAAAATTCCTGCTTAGACCATTTTCATGTCCAGTACCATCTGATTTCCAAACCAGAAATGGCCCTCTGTACGTTGGCTATGAACGAAGCGTGATCTTCTTCCAGGGTGCTGCACTTGATTATTACCATAACAATTCTTCAAATTTCATATTTTGTAGTAGTTAAATTTTGATTTCTTCATATATATCTAATTGTCTTCCTTTCGCTCTGTTCTATCCAATTACTCTTTTCATATTAAGAGATGAGTAGGAACTAGTATTTTCAAAGGTGCTCTAATTACTTTTTTTTTACTTTCACATACATTTATAAAATCAGAGTATAGATTAAGCTAGTTCTCTATGTAGTCCAATATCCTATCTCTTATAGCAGATAATGTATTTTAGAAATTACAGCAAAAGCCTAGTATAAACATTAATGAAATACTAGTTTTTGCTTATTGTTTATCAGTTAATGTTTCAGGAGCTCCCCCATTATCGCCGCACCCACTGTAGCTGTGGTTTTTGTCGCTCTCAGTATCACAGCAGGATCTTCAAATCCAAACCTGATGTCTGACCAGAATTTCAATTCCTATTTTTAGCCTCCGAA